CCTGCCGTGTCACCACTGGCACCCTACCCCTGCCGTGTCACCACTGGCACTGGCACCCTACCCCTGCCGTGTCACCACTGGCACTGGCACCCTACCCCTGCCGTGTCACCACTGGCACTCGCACCCTACCCCCTGCCATTTCACCACTGGTACCCTACCCCTGCCATTTGACCAGGTCATGGAGCTGAAGGAACAAGGAAGCGTAGGAAGCACTGAATTCAGTTCCATTGGCACAGGACTGGGGACTGTCATCATTTTGGGATTAAAGCTATTCACCACATATGCAGTTAGTTTATCTTCAAAACATGACACTAAAAAAATCACGGAGTAGATGGAGGAATCTTGGTATGATCGAATAGATGAAGGCTCTTGTTTTTGTTAAATCTGGGTGGGTGGGTGGGTGGGGGGGGGTTACTTGGGCTCCTTCCAGTCACAGCCTTTAATTTGGGACTGAAGCCACCAAGCATTTCATGCTGTATGAATGCACCTTAATTTCATACCATGTGTGAAGGCTGCTGTACAGCTGCTTCTGTCCTATTGTTTGGTTTTGAATGGGCTAGAAAATCACTTCATTACATCAGATGTTCAGAGCAGTGATGGTATCTCCATTAACCTCACTCAGGATTTGGTGCTTGGAGTCTACCTAAGCCTGCCCACTGTCACAGAAATGTTCAGTGCCGGTTACCCATGTAAGTGTGCAGTGTGTTCATTAAAAATGGACTAACAACCCTGGGCCCCTGTGTTCAGTGTTCTCCTGTGTTCAGTGTTCTCCTGTGTTCAGTGTTCTCCTGTGTTCAGTGTTCTCCTGTGTTCAAGTGTTCTCCTGTGTTCAAGTGTTCAGAGCGGTCTTTGCTGTCTTGGTCCAGACGCCTGGGGAGCCTGGATCGTGATCCTGGGGAATGTTCAAACGATCCGTTTCAGAAGTATGTGGCCACTTCATTCTGCACATCTAAGCGTACCACATCCCATAATTTTCGGCCATGTGGTGCGAACCCATTGGCCAAATTACAGCACCTCAGAACAGTTCTGTAATCTGGGAAATATGAATGGGATAGGCGCTTCCTTCTGGACAAGGCCGCAGCGCGACTCCTCTCACAGACCCTGCGCGTGAAGGTGAGGGATGTCGGCAAAGTTCTCCAGAAGACTCTAGCAGTGAAAGGGGGCAGAGAGCCACCCAATGAGCAGAGCAAAAGCTTCGGTCTCCATGGTAACAGCAGGATCATGAAGAAGTCTTAAAACATCAAGTCTGCCAAATGCCATAAATGTAAATGTTGCGGGTTCTAGTTCCTAGTGTATCTTGCATCTTTACGAGTGTCCTGTCGCTGTCCTCTAACTTTATTTCTCGTGCTTTTTGATGTTGAGACGGGAAGCAGGCCAGGAAAAAATGGGAACATGCAAATTCCATGAAAAATGGAGTGCTGAAGAACAGGGCACGAATGCGGCGAGTGCAGCCTCTGGGAAGTGCATTAAAAATCAGTTTAAAAAAAATGGGGAAACCGCACTAAAGTCGAGTCCTGCTTGCCACTGGGTGCTGGATTAGAAAAATGTTGGATTCTTTCACCTTTTTTGTAACAAAAAAAAAATTAAAAATGAAATCCTGCTTTGGGCTCAGTTCTTTAAAAAGTTTTAACTGATTTGTGTGAAATTTCCACCTCCAGAAAGGTCTGTTTATTCTGAATATCTTTCTCAAATATCTCGCTAGAAAAAAAGCCCTGTTTCCATTTTTTTATTTTAAGCTGGAGGTGGTACAGCCTGCAGATCTCTTCGCATCAGCATTCCTATTGGGTCTCTCTTATACAGTATTTATAAATGTTTAAATAAACTTTTTGAAGTCTCCATGTGACTCCTTTCCCATTCAGATGACTGTACTTCCTCGGTTTTATAATGCATGAAACCGGTAATTCTGTGAAAAACTTGCTTGGGCTTTCATCAAGGAAGTGTGGCTTTGTGGAACCACTGCACAGGGCCAAACAGCCGATCTCTCTCTCTCTCTCTCTCTCTCTGTCTCACACACACACACGTACAGACACGTACACATTAACACCGAAAAGGGTATTGTTTCTTTTGTGGTCTTAAGGTATTCAAAAGCTTTGAATGTGATTCAAAAACATGGTGGTATTATTCAGGGGCCCTTAGACAAGGCTGTGTGTCTTTCGTGCTGGAAAGTGTGATCACCCTGTCGGTAAGTGTGATGGGGGTGTCGAGCCGCTGTGGGGGCACTCACTGTGAGCCTGCCTGGCTCCTTGAGCGCTGGCTCAGGGCAGGCCGAATGAGCCGCGGTGTTCGGTGATAAGGCCATATAACGTAACCCCCGCCTGGGCCAGCTGCTCTCGCTAGTGTTTCTAATCAGGATCCATTTCGTTAGCCTCACGACTGATAAAAAATTTATATTATTTATAAAGAAGGAGCATGTCCATGATTCTAATGGAGAAAAAACACACCTGAATGCTTTGGCAACTGCACGATGTAATTTACTGTACTGTTCAAGGGAAGGGGCCTTTACGACCGTTCTTGGCTAATGAGATAGAGTATAAAAATCCAGTGTTCTGAGTACAGTGTCCTTATGAGCTATGAATTCACCAGTGCCGTATGACTGGCTCAATAACTGGCATTTGCACCTGTGATCAGAAGGTCTCCAGTTCAAATCCTGTGCTTGACAATGTAGCCACATCTCTGCAGCCCTTGAGCAAGACCCGGAACCCCTTGAGAAATGTAGAGGGGTGCTGGATGGATGGACAGCTGACCCTGCACTCAGACCCCAAGCTTCACTCTCACCTCTATATGTGTGTCTGCATTAAAAAAGGAGAGGATGATGGGATATGTGACAAGCACAGTCCAATGTAGCCCCTTATGTGTGCAGCACCCAGCAGATCCTGATAGAAGCTGGCTTTGCTGAAGCAGACGCCAGTCTAGTCCCTGTTGGACACATGAAAAATGAAGACGTGAGCCTCGTGTGGGCCTGGGTCCCTCTAATGTGCCCTCCGGCGAGAGTCGGCCTCGCTTTGGTCGTCAACTGCGAGCCACTGGCGCCGAGGAAACCGGCCCTTAATTGTCCATTTGCACTGCTGTCTACTTTACATTATGTGTTTAAACAGACGGCTGTTTACTCTGCAAGCTCAGGTTAAGTATCTCACTCTCCGAGGGAACATCTCAGTCCATAAATGACCTTCTAGCCGGGAAGCTCCTTCCTGGATGGGCCTTTGTTCCATAGGTGCCTCAGAGGGACGCCCTCCTGGTGCTGAGCCAGATCCACTTAACCTGATTACTCAGCGGATCCCCTGAGACGGGCTCTGCACTTATCACTGGCTGCTGTGCTTTGTTGGCTGTGGGTTCAAGCCCCACGTTTTGGTCGCCCTCCTCTGCCCTTCAGGCTGCTCGCACATAAACAGCTCGCCTCACCTCCAGGATTCTTTATCTGATCTTCTTCCCCTTCATTACATACGTATTGGTTTTCAGGAAGAGTGCAGCATAAAAATTGCCAAAGCATCCCTATGATTCCTGCTCCCTGAACGCTCTGCATTCATTTAGCACTGATTGCCGAGTAACTAAGAAGAAAGTAGCTGGTAGCAAATCGTCTTTGATTACATGAAGTGTTGCTTTGTTTCCTTGGCTCTGCTGTGCGCCGCTCTGCCGGGTGCGCGTGTGCCACTGTGCCATGTGCCGGGTGCGCGTGTGCTGCTCTGCATTGTGCCAGGTGCGCATGCGCCGCTCTTCAGCGTGCTGGGTGCGCGTGTGCTGCATTT